CCCCAAAACCCCAAAACCCCACAAGTTTGAAAGCTTATCGAATAAAATTATCATTTAATTAATTAATCATAGTATATTTTAAACAATATTAGGCATTAGTTATAATTTTTCAATAGATCTTCAACAATAGTTTTGTTCCCATTGATACTGAGTTAATCTTGTTTCTGTTTGTATCAAGTAATCTATCTCAAATGAAGGAATTGTGATCATACTAAATATCATACAGAAGGTGTAAATTATCATAACATATGATTATCTCTACGTTTGAGAAACAACAGCATTCTGAATATATACTCCTGGAACTGTACCGAGCAGAGTCATCATGATAACCAAGAAAGTATATTCATAGTCTAAGAGTCCTTCTGTCATTGCTACAAAACTTGCAGCGAACGAGGACAAAAGAGTCACTCTGAGTATATTATTTCTGGTTGTTATTTGATCAATACCCATCATTAAGATAAATTAAGTAGCAAAAAGTTCTATGCTTACTCCAAAAGCTCCTTATATTAAACCTGAAGAAATCCCCAAAATGAAATAAGCCATTAGATTTTTAGGAGTAATCATCCCTTCAAGCATAATCGTTTAAATTGGCTATTTTTTCTAAATATCCATCTTCACAAGCTTAATCATAAATAGTGTCGCTAAGACAGAGAATATCATTGAAAGAATCAAAACACTTTTGTCAACTTTAGAGCATTTATATATTTTTTGATAACCTCTTAGGAGTGAAACTATCATCAGTACAACCAACATTATCACAATAACGACAGTTTTAATACTTCCAATAAGTTCAGAATAGTCTTTATGAATCTGAATCCTTTTCTTGGCTGTCTAAGTCTCTATATTTATTGGAAGAATTTGGTTCTCCAAAGATCTTTATTGTATTTCAATACTATCTCCGAGTACTACACTAGATGAATTTCTCTTTTACTGCGAATTTTGAAAAATTGCTGGTTGGAGATATCTCAGTGACTCAACTGGCATATACTGATCCTATCTAGTGATTGATTGGAAAAGTGCTTTGTTTATTCCTTCTTCGAAATTCACTGACTATTTTGCTAATTCAACCTCTTAATATCTAAATCTTTGATTCTCTTATTTGTAAAGAGTAATGACCTTTAGGAGAGTTCGAATGAATTATAGCAATAGAAAGATAAAAAATCCGGCTCCAATCATTAACTCAGGGATTACTTATCCAAAAATTACTCCAATAGCAGCAAAAATTATAACGAATGGTGACATTATTGAAGCCATATTATAGTCTACATCTTTATTTTTGTTGATTGCATTAGCATTCTTGCCAATAAAATACCACTCAATAACAAATCTTATGAGTATAGATATTAATATCGATACATTAGACATTGCAATAGCTTAGCGAGTGTCGAACTTGTAAAATGCAAGACACACAGGTATAACTACACCTCCTGAGCTTAGTCCTCCACAATTAGCAAGCATCACTATCAGAATACAGAAAAATGAGCCAATAAACTCAAGCGAGAACATCGGGAACATGTCTTTGTGCTTGCAAACGAATCTCATATGGTCAGAAGTCTCTCCACACCATTCCCATAGAGACTCGCATTCCTCATTTGATTAGCAGCTAGTGCCGTATCCATTAATTTGATGTAAGTTAAAAATAAATAGCAGAGCTAAAATTGATAGCAGCTGTAAACCTTTTCTCATTAATAAATTCTATAATAATATTATCATACGATTTAATGATTTTAAAGCATTTCTAATTTTCAGCAATGAGGGGTTTTGGGGTTTTGGGGTTTTGGGG